ACTTTGCTCTGTGATAAAATACACTAGAAGGAAGCCTGCTAGGAGTTTGTAGAAGTGTCAGCCTTTGGAGAACTTGAGGAAGAATGTAGAAAATGACTAGTCTATCCTGGACGGCTTAATAAGAAAAACTCACATTTCAATAACCCATTAAGGTTTACAAAGCACACTCTTCACAACAGCCCTGATAGGTAGGTAATGCAAGCACAGCATTATCCCCATTTTACAGATGAGGAGACTAAGACTTAGAAAGTTGAAGTGAAGAAGCAATACATGACTCTCAGCTCTGTTTCACTCACTGCCAGTACTTGGGTTCACACAAAGCGGATGGAGAGATAAAAGAGGTTATCTGTGATTAGCATCATAGCTAGTGTCAGAGTAAGTGAGCTCAGGTCTCCTGATTCCCTGTCCAAAGACATTTTCATTACACAGTGTGACCTCCCCTTCTGGAGGGAGGCTGGGGGCTAGAAATAGATCAGTGTTTTCTTAATTTGTGTTTACAGAATCACGGATTGTCAGTGCTTTAGGGCAGAAGTGTCAAACTCATAGTCTGTGGACCCACAGAATCAGATTGAAATGTTGTCATTGGGAAACATTTGACAAAATAAATAAAAACACAGTGGAATATGTTGTCATTCAGTTGTTTCAGTCACGTTTGGCCCTTTGTGACCCCACTTGAGGTTTTCTTGGCAAAATACTGGAGTAGTTTACCATTTTCTTCTCCAGCTCATTTTATAGATAAGGAACTGAGGCAAACAGGGTCAAGTGACTTGCCCAGGGCCACACAGCCAGTAAGTGCCTGAGGCCAGATTTGAACTCAGAAAGATGAGTTTTCCCAATTCTGAGTCCAGTGCTCTATCCACTGTACCACCTAGCTGCCTACAACAGAATAGAGTTCATGTTAATATGTGGTTTTCTGAGTCAATAAATGGCTTGCAGGGACCACTACATGCCGTTTAGTGGCTCAGTTTCTATTTGAATTTGATACCACTGCTCAAGAGGACCTCAGATAGCATCTAGTCCAATCCTTTAATTTACAGATGAGGAAACTGAGGCTAGTAAAACAGGTGTTGTTGTTGTTGTTGTCATCGTTGTAGACTCCCTAGGCCCTATCTTATGGGCTCCAATCTGCCACCACAAAACAAACAAAAAACCTCACCTGAAGAGGCACGAAGAACGGAACAGCTTCCGGTGAGACACCAGTGAGGTGATGTCTGGCTCTTATTCTATAATCATAAGTAAACTACTCTTCCACGCCAGACACCAAAGCACAGACACTGTCCCTTTCCTGTGCTTGAAGAGGACAAAACAGCAGCCTACGGACCATGCAGGGAGCCTTCAGGGGTCAGCCGGGGAGAGCTGCTGGATTTGACGATTTCCCAGGGGTCCCTCTGATCGTCGCAGCTCTCTGGCGCATCTATGTCACAGTATGTACGCAAATTGAAATTAAAGTCAAAAGGTCCCACGGTGTGGTCAATGGGGCCTGCCCATTCAGTTGGGGAAATGAAGAGAAGAACAAAACGTAGAATAGCCAAGGTCTCAGGGGGCACCTGGAGGCCCTGGTCTTCTCTTTCTCTCTGTTCTCAGCTTTATTTTATAATCTCCTTCCGCATCCTCTAAGCTTCAGCCAAGTTCAAATACTCTTTGTTCTAAGAACATTCATCGTGCTTTTCCTTTGTTCCTTTGCTTTTATTGTTCCTGATACAGAACCAAAACTAGCATGGGGCAATCAGGACTGTGATCTAGGAGGTGGCATGGAGGGGACATGAAAACCCTTTCCTTACCTGCCAACCCACTGGCCCCACTGCCTCGCTCGGCCTCCACTACTGGCCTCCGGGGTCCTGGGGTCTTTCATAATCATTTCCTAGGGCTGCTTTCAAATAATGCTCTCTGTTTTCAGTACCTGCCTTGCAAGGAGAAATCCCAGGGCCAATCTAAGATCAGAGTGAGGCAGGGATCTGCAATGAGGATTGATGGTGGAGCTGGTCTATGGGGCTGCTCCTTTTAGGGCCACTAGGTGGCGCACTGGATAAAGTGCGTGGCCTGGAATCAGGAAGACTCACCTTCCTGAGCTCAAATCTGGCCTCTGACACTCACTAGCTGTGTGACCCTAGGCAAGTCACTGAACCCTGTTTGCCTCACTTTCCTCATTTGTCAAATGAGCTGGAGAAGGAAATGGCAAACCACTCCAGTATCGTGCCAAGAAAACCCCAAATGGGGTCACCAAGAGTTGGACAGGACTGAAAAACAATTGCACAAAACTGAATTCCTGGGATCTTTGCCTTTGCTTTCTTTTTTTGAAACCACTTTTCCCTGATAATTCATCCAGGCCTTTAGTCCTATCCAGTTCAGGCCCTGCTAGTTTCTGTCTCCTTTTTTATTCCCTATGTACTATGACCTCTGGAACCCTGCTCTGTTCTCAACAAATCCCCAGTCCTTCCTTCTCATGCTCCTTCCATCTTCTTGTGCTTCATGAAACTTAGCATCTCCTGAAGATGTCACCTCTCCGAGGCTGACTTCTCCTTCTCTCATATCCCCAGGCACTTGGGGTCAGTAGAAGGAGTGGGTCTGCTCTTTGCTTCCCATTGCCACTTTCAGACCCTTCCTCTGCTCCCTCACTCAGCACCCACCTCTCCTCCTTTGGTCACTACATCCTAGCGAGACCCTTCTTGCTGTCCCACTATCCTGCTATCCTCTATGGGCCTGCAGGTATATTTATGCCCATCCCTAATAAGTTCAGTATCTTCTTCTTCTTTAGCCCAACCCTTGCTTCCTCTGAACTCCCTGGCCTCCCAGTTCCAGTTCCTCAGCCTCCACAATCCCTGTGATCTCTAATTCTATTCTACCTCCACCATGCAAAGGAGGGGTCTCTCCTTAGCCCCAACCCCAAATGAATTTGCCACAGATGCCAGAATTCCTAATTATAGTTCTGTTCATGTGCCTAGAATGTCTTTTCTCCCCTTTTTCACCTGATGAATTCCTAACAATTCTTTAAAAGCCAAATCAAAAAGCAGCTCCTCATTGAAGCCTTCCCAGATACCTTACCAGATACTAAAAATGACTCAGATCCCTCCCCACACACAGAATTCACATAGCATTGTTAGGCAACTTTCTAGTCTTATCTAAATAGTATATCTCCCCCAACCCTCAGCATTGGCTGTGCACATGGTAAGTGCTTAATAAATGTTTTTACAATAGTTAAAGTTTGATCACTTATTGTTTAAAATATATTTAAACAGCAGCAATCACTTCCAAAATGCAATATATATATATATATATATATATATATATATATATATGTATTTTAAATATAAGTAAATATAATATTTTAAATAAAATTAAAATGCTTAATCAGAAAGAATTGAAAATACAAATGAACGAAATGAAACACAAAGGACACCAGGAGATGAGCTCCCAGGTTTTAATCAGGGAACAGTTGTGTATTTATAGGGTTTTTAATGTTGAGGGCAGGATTTAAGGAGAGCAGGTTGCAAACAGCATGCCTCAGCAACCCAGAACCTTCTAGTTCTCTTCCCCACAAAAGGATCCTGGGTTCCCTCCAGGTTAATGGAGGGAAAGGCTGAAGGAAGCTTTTATTAGTAAATATTTCTGTAACTTGTCTGCCTATCCTCTCCCTAATACATAGGCAAGTCATCTCTCTGTCAGGCTTTCCAGACCCACCCTCTGCTGATACCCTTAAGAACATCTCCCCATTCCTGAAGAGGAGAGATGTAACCAACATCCTGAGATGTGAACCACAATGAACAGATGTCTGTTTTTCCCGGATGCAGGGAATAAAATTAATGAAAGGAAAAATGAGGGTGGAGATCAGAGAGGAAAAAGAAATAGTGGCAACAAAACCATGAGATTAGATTAGATTGCAGACATCAAATTGTACCAGGCCAATTGGATTTCCTTCAAGGATAGCATGACAGGGTCTCTGGATAAAGGAAAAAGGCTAGGGAGAGATTCTCTCTGGGTTTTGGTGAGCTTTTTTGACTGCCCAGTGAACACCCCACCAGCAGACTTTATCTGGAGCTGTACTTATTTCCAAAATCTAGTTGAATATTATATTAAAATGGAAGGTTCCATATCTAATTGGAAGGTCCCACTTAAAATAGAAAGAAATGTGTGGGCTGTTGACTGGTATCTCCCAAGTGAAGATCCTGAGTATGATTATTTCACAGGATGTTAAAGAACATCCTGTTTAAAAGGAATTTTAAAGATCTTTTAGTTCAACTTTTTTGGTTTTCAAGTGAAAAAACTGAGGTCCAGAACTGGCCAAAGTTAATTAGCATTTTATGGTTCCCTGACCCTGATTTCCATGTTCCTGTCTCTGCCTCTTTACTTAATATAATTCAATCCTTCATGATTATACTGTTAGGTACTGTATTTTAACTTAATCTACCTCCCAATGTGTGTCCATCTTGGATTCCATCCAAGGGGGTTTAATTATTAGAAAGATATTATTAAGGGTCAGTCTCATTTATAACCCTATTCTATGACGCAGACCTCATGTATTATAGTAAGGCTCCAGTGTCCTGGCGGGATCATTAGAAACTGGGAAGAAATAATGTTGGATCTAAGCCAAGGCAGAGTAGGTGGCCACCTATGTGGTATGGTTTTAAAGGTGGTGTGATGTTGCCTTTACTTTATAGGCTTGAGGTTTGCAAGGTTAGCTATAAGGAGATTGTTTTATTTCCTCTTAAGTACTTTACCCACAAATCAGATTTGTTGCCACGATTTGGACAGTGATAAACCTTGGTTATGACTTACTGTTCCTAAAACTAGGATTCCCATCAGTCACATTAACTGGGACAACCAATCAATCAAACCCGAGAGTCTTTTTGAAGCAACTACTATGTTCCAGGCACTGTTAGGAACCAGAAACACAAAGACAAAAATGAAACAGTTCCTGACATAAAGGGAGGCATTTTTACACATTCTATTGTGTTATGACATATACATAAATATGTACAAAATGTGCAAATAAATTTCTATACCTTTGATCTTATCCATGTAGAGATCTCCTGGTTGAAGAATTTCTTCTAGCAATGCAGATTAGCCCCTTCTATGCAATTTATAGTCCAAGAGACTATAGGTCTAGGAGCCTGGGACACAGAGAGATTAAGTTACTTAACCCTGTACATGGCTGGAGCTGGAACCAAGGGCCTCCTGACCACTAGGTCACCTCTCTGTCCACCAAACCAGACTGTCTCTCAAATGAATAGATACAAGGGGGTCTAGTAGCTGGGGGAATCAGGAAAGGCTTCCTGGAAAAGGTAGTGTTTGAATAGCATTCTGGAAGGAACAAGAAATGCTAAAAAGGGGGGTTGAGGTGGGAGTGCACAAAGGAGACAGCAGAAAAAAAGAACACTGGACTTGAAACCAGGAAACTGGATTTAAATCCTAGCTCTGTTCTTTATTAGTCATGTCCTCTCAATTTCCTCATCTGTGGAAATGGAGATAATTTTGCATTACTCAACCACACAGGGCACCTGCGGGCATCAAATGACATAATACATGGGAGATGTTTTCCAAAATGATAGATAAACGTTCTCCAATAATCCACAGTTTTGTCAATGGGCACTTCTAGCAGTGATCACTGCCCCTGCATGGCCTTTAAGAAATACTGCAGCAGCAAAATTCTGCACCCCATGGCCAATGTGGTGCTGAGACTCTCTGAACTTAGTGAGGCTGGTCCTCAGAAAACAAACATACAGACCCATACTGGCAAACAGGATTTTCAGCTTGTACTGGAGCTTGTACTCTACTGATATCACCTTCACGACCCCAAGATCACTTTTTTACCATGGTGAGACATCATCGTAGGATGATAGCGAAGTGTAGAAATGAGAATTGTTATAAATGTTAGCTTTATAGATGTTTGGTAGACTATATCGCGTAAGTTTTTATAACGAAAATGGCATACTTTTCTATTCAATTATACTTTTTCTGTGTGGCACCAAAAGACCACATGGTATGAGAAATTCCTGTGATTAAAGAGATTCCTTTGCATTTACTCCAAAAGTTCCATGTCAAAATCCCAATTACTATCTAGGAAGGTTGTTGTTACCTATCATCTTAGAGGAGACAAGATGGCACAACAGAAAAAGAATTGAGTTCAGAGCCTAAAGACCTAGCTTCAAATTTTGGCTTTGCCATTTATAATCTGGGTGACCTAGACGAATTTCTTTACTCTTTTTTTGCTTGTTTCTCCATCTTGTCTCCTATGATCCTATTACTAGTTTATCTCTAAGGTGCTTTCTGGTTCTAAAATCCTATGATGTTCATGGATTTGTTGATGAGATTAGCTAGTGTTCATCTAACAAAGAGCAAGGCCTAAGAGATCTGAGACACAGGAAAGGTGAGATTTGGTGTGGTCATGGAGGTTGGAATGTTGACCTTGCACAAGAAGAAGAAAGAGGAGCCAAGTTTAGGAGTATCATAACCCAATAATGTAAATGAACCTGGGGACAACAGTACATTGTAAATTTGGCAGTGGAGTAAGAGGAAGCTACCAAAGGCAGGAGGAAGGCAAGGTTCTTCTGCCATCAACATGTATTCAACGTTGTCAGTGTCTTTAGTAGACAGCAAGAGTCTTCAGCGTTTAAGATGGGTATGGAGAAACTGGAGAACTTCCAGTGAAGATAAGAAAAAATAATGGGAAAGAAACTTGGTCATTTATTTTGTATTAGGGTAATTGGACAATAAACTGCAACAAGGGAGAGCTCAGTTAGACATCAGAACTTCTTCACTATCAGGATGATTCAGTACTAGGAGGGACTATGAACAGAGTATATGGAATTATAGCCATAGAGATCTTTTAAAATAAAATGGTAGTTTTACAAAGGACTTATCAATCAACATGCATTTTAGTGTCTACTGTGTTCCAGGCACAGGAAATGGGAATACAAAGGCAAAAGTAAAAGCAATCCCTGCCTTCAAGAAGCCTACAATCTAGCCTGGGGAGACAACATTGACATAGGTAGGTGTTTACAAAATAGGTATGAGGTTATAGGGATGAGGATAGGCACAAACAGCTAGCAGAGAAACCTTCATTTTGCAGAGGAAGACTCCTAGAGAATGAACCCAAGGTCACACAGAAACAGGTCCCGTAAATCACAGCTCAGGTTGCTTTCATCACACTGCATCACTTTTCAGAACCAACAACTATCATTTGGATGACTCAAATGGAGATTTGGTTTGAAGCTAGAGACCAATTTGCATGAACTCTTGAGGGTTTATGCCTATCACTGGAGTCTGTGATGTTAGAAAAGTCTTAAGAAGAGGGTGAGGACTTCACCACCTAGCTAAGACACTGAAATTGATCTTTGAGTTAAACCCCAGAGAAGCACATTATAGGCAGCTTTCCATAGGATTGGAAGGATAAGATGTGCTCAAGACTGTCCCCTATTGTCTCTGATTCTGGGGTAGAGAAACAATAGGATGCCCATCTGTGTTGGGGCCTCTGGAGAAGAGGAAAGAACTAAGTGTCACTGCTTGGGGAGACAATGGAGTCCAGTGAAAACACATGGAAAGTCAGGAACTAGATAATTTGCCCTTGTTCTCTCAGGAACTAGTTTTACCATTTTGGACTAGTCATTTGATTTCACCCTCTGGGACTCCTACCTCCACCTTCCTTGAAGGGTTTTTGTAAAGGTGAATGAGATACTGTATATGCATGAAAGCATTCTGGAAAGTTAAATACACTGCACAAACGTAAGGAATAACAGTTATTAACTCTGGGCATGGCAAGCAAAAATCTATCATGTCACTCTTTGCTTTCATGCCATGACTTTTCTCCATCTCAGACACAAGCAGAGCCCAAGAATAGACAGCACAGTCAAGCTTTTAGCCTCCAGTCACCAGCAAAATGTGCTTTGAGTTTAATATATTTGCATTTGGAAATTAGCTGGGCTCTGGTCTGACTGTTAGTGTCCCTGGGGCCCCCCATCTCACCCACACAGTTGAGCAGTCAAAGATGGAAAATATTGTGCTGCCAACTTCCACCCACACCCCTTTCCAGCTCTGAAATGACTAGCTGAGGAGATTAAAACAGGACAGTTTTCTGAGCGGCTCAGGGCTTTTCTAAGGGAATTCTAATGAGTGGGATAGAGACAACCTAGACCAGCCAGGACTAAGGACTACCCCTTACAAAGAGCCTTAAGGACAGAGTTGGTTGCTAAAATGCTAGAAATGTTCCTGCATATGGAGGAAGGCACAGTGGTGTGTTCTGGGATAAGGAGTAGCTGGTGGAGAATTGGGTAGTGAGGAGGGGGTTGAGGGAAAATGGCCTGAAGGAAGATTCTCCACACCTCTTGGCTGGCTGAGACTCAATGGTGCCTCTGGGATCCTAATGTGTCAGCTCAGGGTGGGAGCTATGGGGGAATTTGTATTCTGTGAGGAAAGTTGATTTTTGGTAGAGTTTAATAGCTTGAAGAAAGTTTTAAGCCCAAGGAGCCAGCTAAGAAGTGTTTTTGTCAATGATCCACCAAATTATAAGTCCTCTAAAGCCTTTCTCTGTTTTTACTGTCTAGCCAAAATCAATTGAAGTATCTGGGGGAAACCACCTGTTACGAGAAACATATCTAGATGAGTTTGTGAACTTGGAGTCCAGGGTAGAAATGGACCTTCAATGGTCATTGAGGATATCTCTTGCTTCCAAGCAAGACCTTATCTAAAATACTCCAGCAAGATTATTGCCCGCCTAGTCTTTAAAAATTCCAGAGACTTCTATTACATATATTGCCTTGAAAATTCATTCTAATATTCCTGGAATTCCTTTCTAATAGTTTACCAGAATCCTTCATTTAATAAAGAAAGTTTGCCTCCTTTTTGTCTCTTGGATACTGGGAAGCAGTAAAGTATCCCTTCATATACCTAAAGAATCATCAATTTAAAATTTGATTGGGGAAAATCCTTAGAGATTATCTTGTACCCTCCCCTCATTATACATGCAACCTGGACCTCCCTCAATGTGGCTCCTTGGAAGATATTCATTGGTTCATAAGACACCTTGGGTCAGCATCTATTCAAAGCTCCACTGAATGAGCCCCCACCTAATATTTTCTTTAACATCAATGTAACACATTAATTCTAGGCAGTGATTCAGTAATCATTTATTGAGTATTTACTATGTTTGAGGCACCGTAGTAAGCACTGGAAAAAGGCAAAAACATGATTCCTGCCCTAAGGAGCATATAGTCTAATGGGAAAGACAGCATGCAAACAATTATGTACATATAAGACAGATATAAACATCAACAAATTTATATGAAGGGATAGATATGCCTATATTTATATATCTATATCTAGGCATATATGCATCTTATATAATACATATACTACAGATATAGTAAAAATATATGTAATATAAATAGGTATAGTAAATGTATATAGTAGATATATACCACATATACATATGTTAGATGGGTAGATAGATCTACATATAGTTATAGATATGTCCATATTTATATATGTATGGATATCTATCTTATATAATAACTACACTATACATAGAGTATAAATATAATATCTATATATATAGTAAATATATATAGTATAGCATACTACATATATATGCATACACATACATATATACATAGAGTATAAATATAATATCTATATATATAGTAAATATATATAGTATAGCATACTACATATATATGCATACACATACATATATACATACACATATATATACACTCATATACACATATATACAAATAGATATAGATATAGATGTGTTAGATAGACAGGTAAATAGAGGAAATGGGAGGTAATCTCTGAGGGGAGGCATTAGCCATGGGAGTGGGAGGACCAGAAAGGTTTCTTGCAGAAGATGAGATCTGACCTGTCTTGAAGATCATGGAAGCCAGTAGAAGAGAGGAGAGAGGAGAACATTCCAGGCGTTGAAAAGGCACGGAGTCAGAGTCAGGAGATGGAATGTCATGTTAAAGGAATCACAAGAAGGCTAGCTCAGCTGGATCATAGAATTGTATGTGGAGGGGGATGAGGTGGTGCAATGGAGAGCATCCCTCTATCAGTATCTGTTGCCCGCAACCAGATTGTACACCGAACGGAGAGGCGTGAAATAACCTGTGATGTG